GCAACGGAATGAGACTTCAACTCAAAAAAAAAAAAAGAAGAAGAAGAAGAACAAAATCATTTCCTTTGCAACAACATGGATGCAGCTGGAAACCATCATTTCTAACTGAATTATCACAGAAACAAAAAGCTGAATAACATATGTTCTTACTCTTAAGTGGGCACTAAAAATTGGACACACAGACAAAAGGACATGAACAACAATTGATGCTGGGCACTGCTAAAGGAGGGAAGGGTAATAAAGGAAAGACACCCACCCATTGGGTACCATGCTAAAAGCCCAAATTTCACCTTCACATAATGTAATAAGGTAGCAAATCCTCACATGTATCCCAAGACTCTAAAATAATAAATAAATACAATAGAATAACAAAAAATTATACTGTACCCCATAAATATATACAATTATTATTTGGAAATTAAACTAAAATAAAACTTTAAAAATAGATAAATAAAAATAAAGCAAAAGAATGATGAACATGGGTATGCAGAATAATTGATTATATCAGGTAGAAAGAGGCAAGGAGATGGTATGGGGGACTGTGTGGTTAAATGCAGTTTACTCACGAAGTCTTGGCTTTAAGGGAGATGAAGAGGTCATAGATTTATTATAAGCACATACTTAAAAGAAAGCCATGAATTCTGTTATGAAATATGATTGTTATTAATTCTGTTATTTGCAGGCAAGTTCCCAAAAAACTGTCACTACAAAGCGGATAAGATTATCCTTTACGAATTCTTAAAATTTAATTAATCAATTATAGTTATGAAGAAAAACCCCAAAGTATAAATAATAAACTCAGGGAACTACTAGATGGCAAAAGGTAAATTTTATATAAGAAATAGAAGAAAAGACATAATCATTTCAGAAATGAAAACAACTCTTAAAAGGTACTTAAATACACAAGAAAATCCTAAACAAATATTAGTAAACTGAATCTGATAATAATATATCATAGTTTATCTACTCCTGGATTACAATCCAGTATCTACTCCTGGATTACAATGTGTGTTTAACATGTGAAAACCAGTCAATGTAATTTGCTTCATTAACAGCAAGGCTAATCAATATCAAACAAAGTAGGCTGTAACCAGAAAGCATTGGTAGACACTATAATTTTTAAAACATTAAATAAAAATCAGTTGATAAAAATTTAACATGTATTTATGATTTGTTAAAACTTTTGGCAAACAAAAAATAGAAGAGAACTTCCTAGATCTGGTCAAAAGCTTATCACAAATACACTTAATCTTGGAATGCAGAAATCCTTCCTTTAGGATTAAGAATGAGACAGACAGCCGGGCTCGGTGGCTAAGCCTGTAATCCCACGCCTTTGGGAGGCTGAGGTGAGTGGATTGCCTGAGCCCGCGGGTTCGAGACCCGCCTGGGCAGGTGAGACCTCATCTCTACAATAAACCAAAATATTAGCCGGGCGTGGTGGCGCGCGCCTGTAATTCTGGCTACTCGGAAGGCTGAGGCGGAAGGATCGCCGGAGCCCAGCAGGGTCGAGGCTGCGGTGACCGGGAGCGGCCACTGCACTCCAGTCTGGGCGACAGAGTGAGACTCTAACTCAAAAAAAAAAAAAGAATGAGACAAACACTTCCTATCACAACTTCCATTCTCCTTAATTTTAGTATTCTTAGCCAACAAAAAGCAATCAATGGCATAAGTATTAAATTAAAAGAAATAAAACGATCATATTTTCCAATGCTCATTTTGTATGTAGAAATTGGAAAATCTCAACAGATAAATAATCATAATTTCAAAAGATGAATCTATATAGCACAAAGTGTAAATCCTAATAAAAACTATGATAATTAAAGGGCACACAGCCTTAATTAGATAAGAGAAATGAGTTTGATTTTTTTGAGATCTATTGCACAGAATGGTGACTATAGCTAATAACTGAGAAATGTACTTTCACTAAGAGAGTAAATCTCAAATGTTCTCATCACAAAAATGTTAAATATTTGAGATGATGGATAGGTTAATTAGCTTTAATTCTTACACGTTGTATTAAAAAATGATAGCATCACTTGCACCCTATAAATATATACAACCGTAATATATAATTTTTAAAATTATAAAAAGAAGGAAGCTGAAGGAAGCAGGAATAGAGAGTATATGGAAATTCCCTTACTCTCTGCTTATTTTTTCTATAAAACTAAAACTGCTCTTAAAAATATAGTCTGTTAATTTTAAAAGTAAATTTAGTGCTTACAAAAATCAATAGCATTTCTATATATCTTTAAACATATGATTAGAATGTGAAGAAATATATTATTTACATTAGCACAAAAATATCAAAGAACTAAACATAAATCTAGAAATTATCTGTAAGACCTTTGCAGAAAACTGTAAAGATTTTTGGAGAGACTTAAAGAAGTCCTTAAAAAAATGGAAGGATGAACCATAATCATTGATTGGAATATTTGACATTATAAACACACATGTATTGAAAGACTTAATATTGTAAGTATGTCAACTCTTCCCAAATTGATATATATAGTTACTTTAATCCCTGCAAAAATCTCAAGAGGTTGTTGTTTATGGGATTTGACAAGTGTGTTACAAAAATGTTAGTTTAAATTCATGGCAAATCTGGTGATTCATATGGCAGAAAATACAATTCCACCTCTCTTTTATACTATATAAAATTAGTATAATTAGTATAATTAGCAGAAAATACAATTCTACCTCTCTTTTATACTATATAAAATTAGCTGATGATATATAGAAGACAATTTAAAAAGTAATAATATTAATCCTATAAAAAATCTGGCAGACTAAAATTTGGAGCTGAGAAAAACTTTTTTCACTACAAGGAAACCCAAAAGTAAAAAGGAAAAGATTAGCAAATTTAGCCATATGAAATGTAAAAGTTTTCATGCAGCAAAGAGAGTTTCTAGAAAAATTACAGATGTGGATAAAGTATTTGTAATGCAGATAAAGTTATTATCTGAACATTTTTTAAAACCCTTATAAAATTACAAGGAAACAGTGAAACGACAGGAAAAGGTAATTTCTGAAGGACAGATCCAAATAATCAACAAATATTACAAAAGATGCTCAAATTCATTAGTCATCAGAAAAAGCAAATTAAAATGACAATTATATTAATTTATATTCATCAGACTGGCAAAAACGAAAAGAGCAATAATATTTATTGCTGGCAGAGATATGAGGGGAAGATTAGTCTCACACATTCAAAAGGAAATATTGACATGCCAACTTCAAAATATATATTTATTAAAAGATTTGCTGATTATTGCTAATAAATATGATATGAATAAAATTATAAATATGTAGCCATAATTTGTCATTTGAAAACTTTTTAAAGAATGCAGAAAATTCATTAGGATAAAACATTTGTAACCTCCTTTACAAGCCTTTGATCAAAGCTCATAATAAAAATATAAATCTCATCTCTTTATGTCATGGTTAAGAGTACTAGTTCTGGAGTTACAAACTGCAAGTTCCAACCTTAGAAATATCATCAGATCCAAGAATCCTGAGATGGCTTAATCTCTCGAACTCTCAATCCCTTCATTTGTAAAAGGTTGATAAGCATAGAAATAAAAATTAATAAACTTTTTTATTGCCTGACAACCAGAAAGTGAGCCTGAGGCCTGAATAGAGCACATAATGAGTAATCAAATTGTGAAAACTCAGAAATAAATAATTCCATGAATTAAGCCACATCATTATCACAAATCTTTGTTTTTCTTTCTAGAATATAAAACATTATACTTACATGAATAGAAATGCAATATCATGAGGCCTTAGAGCAAGATAAGACTGTTTCCATTCTAAAAATCTATGCAATAATTCATCTGCCTCACCAGCTGTAGAAATCTTATTTTTATCTGACCACAACTCCAATGATGCCAGCACAATAGTAACCTTAAATTGGGCAAGCATCTAAAAACAGAAGAGATAAATATATGCAAAATTAGACTTTATGTTATTTTACAATAACCTAAAAATTAATTCATTGTTTTTAGAGCTCCACATTCAGTATATATAGATGATTTAATTATTCTGAAACACCACAAGAAAAATTACAATTTTAGAAAAAAGAATGTTCTTGATATGAAAGGGAAAATACTTACTGAATTTGCAAGGCCAACAATTTCGATGACTTTACTTGTTATTATGATGTTGTCAGAGCCCAAGTAATCATACTGAAAAACAAAATTAATTTTATATTTAAGTACATTTGTAATGTAATGTTTTCAGGATTTACTATCTACTGTCGGAGGTTTGATACTGCTTTGGTGTTCAATAGCTCAAAATAAAACATTAATAAATAAATATAAACAATATAAACTGGATTCCCCATACACTGCTGGTAGGCATTTGAAAAGGTACAGTCACTCTAAAACAGTTTGGTGACTTATTTCAAAATAAAGAATAGACTTACAGAATGGTTCAGCAATTTTACTCCTGGGCATGTTTCTCAAAGAAATAAAAGCTGATGCTTACAGAAAAACCTGCGTGTGAATGTCCATAACAGCTTTATTCATAATAGTCAAAAACTGGAAATGACTCATATGTCCTTCAGTGGCTAAATGGTTAAACAAAGTGTAGTACACTCATACCATGGACTACTATAGCAATAAAAAAGGAAGTGAATTGTTGATCTATGGAACAGCTTGGCTAAACCTCAAGAAAATTATGCTCAGAACAAAACTATCTCAAAAGGATACAGACTGCATGATAACTTCATGTAATATTTGTGAAATCATAAAGAAGAACAGTTTAGTGGTTGCCAAGGGTTCAGAAATTGTGGGGGGCAGATGGGTGTGGCTCTAAAGGAATAACATAAGAGAGTCTTGTGGTGATGATAACACTGAGTATCTTAACTGTGACAGTGATTATGTGAGGCTACCTATGTGATACTCGCATTAAACTACACACACAAATACACATGCATACATAAATGAGTGTATATATATATAGCATATATATTGTATATATATACACATATATAATTTTATATAGCATATATGCATGGTGTATATATATACTATAACTATAATTATATAATTATTGAAATATGAATAAACTCTGGATTGCAATAATGTCAAACTCCATGTATGTCCAGATAAACTCCCTATAGTACATCATGCTTTGGATGTTCCACAGAATCCTCAAATTATTCAAAACTAAACTCATATCCAAACTAAATTAAACATATTCTGTTCCTACTTATATTTTCACCATTTTAGTGAATGATATTATCATCAACCACATCCCACATTTATTGCTGTACATGTTCCATGAGAGCAGAAGTTTTTCCCTGTTTTGTTCACTGCTGTAGCTCCAATAGCTAGAACAGCAACTGGTATCTAGTTAATGCTTAATAAATTTATTAAGTAAATGAATAAATCAAATCAGTGTACAAGCCCTTCTCATTCATCCTCATCAGTCAGTAACTTTTAAAGTTGTCCTTTTAGCCAAGTGCAGCAGCTCATGCCTGTAATTCCAACACTGTGAGGCAAAAGCAGGAACATTGCTTAGGCCCAAGAGTTTGAAACCAGCCTCGGCAACATTGCGAGACCTTGTCTCTACAGAAAATCAAAAAATAAGCCTGGTGCAGTGGCACACACCTGTAGTCCCAGCTACTAGGGAGGTTGAGGTAGAGGATCATCTGAGCCCAGGATGTCGAGGCTGCGGTGAGCTGTGTCATGCCACACTGCACTCCAGCCTGGGCAACAGAGTGAGACCCTAACTCAAAAATAAAAATAAAAATGAATAAAAATAAAGTTGTCCCTTTAATTTTTATTCCTAATACCACTAATGTATAAGTTTTCACTTTGATTAATGGAATAGTCTCTTAAATCATTCCTCCTTTTTCAATTTTCCCACCAGCAGTCTATCCCTACACTATTACTATTACTACTTCCTACTACTACTACTGTTACTATTACTATTACGATGATTCTAAGGTGAATAGGTCACTCTCCCACTTTGGATTTCAATGACTCTCTATTGCATTTAGGATAAAAAATCCAAATATACCACCAATGCTTTAATTCATCTATTTTCACATCCCTCTTTTAGCACTGTGTGTTCTTCAGACTAAATGTCTTGTAGTTTCCTGAAAGAAACCTTCTCTCACACTTAAGTACTCTTGAAAATGACAGTTTTGGCCAGACACAGAGGCTCATGGCTGTAATCCCAACACTTTGGGAGGCTGAGGCAAGAGGATCGTCTGAGCCCGCGGGTTCAAGACCAGTCTGGGCAATATGGTGAGATCTCATCTCTACAATAAAAATCAAAAAATTAGCAAGGCATGGTAGCACGCGCCTGTAATTCTGGCTACTTGGAAGGCTGGGGTGGAAAGACCATCTGAGTCCAGCAGGTCAAGGCTACAGTGGCCGTGAGCATGCCATGAGCACAGTTGGAGTGAGATTCCAACTCAAAAAAAAAAAAAAAGAAAGAAAGAAAATTATGGTTTTGCAAAGTCTTCTCAGGCCACACCCTCCACCCATTACCCATGTCTTGCATTTATTATATGACCTACTGTATGAATCATGCCTTCTAATTTTCTGCATTTCTGATACTTTTACATCTTGGGGGCTTTTTGATCCTAAAAAGACCACCCCTCTAAAGGCCATCCAGTTCTTAGAGATAGTAAGCGGTTTTCCTTTGTGTGTACCTTTCATAAGCAAGTTAATTGATCCAGCGCCTACACCTCAATACCCTATCAGGCTCTCATGCTCAGATCCACTATTCCCCTGCCCTAATCACCCCAGGGCCAGGTATCAGACAACTAGAAACAGTCCCCAGAACCCACTGAAATATTCAAACTAGCCAGTTCTAAACCTGCTTACCCTTCCTTGCCTTTTCATGGGAATCACAATAATGGCTCTTCACCATATTTCCCCTAGCTTTCCCTGTCTCCTGACTGACCCCAGGGCTTCACTGTGTGGACCTTTGTAATGTGGAGTGCCCCCTACTATTGGGATCTGTGGGTAACAAACAATCTTTCAAAAGCAATCATCTCCGGAGCTGTTGGCCTCAATATATCAGAATAATAAAAGAAAATAATGAGATTTAGAACACCCACTTCCATGTTCTTAAAGTATAACCATTTACAGTTGCGTGTTTCCATGTCTTTCTCCATTACCAAATTGTGTTTTTATAGAATTAAATGTTTCCCTCAATCACGATGCTGAATTCACTAGGTTAAAATTGGGAATTTACAATTTATAAAGTCACTAAAGAAAACATCAGTATTATTCTTCTTTATATGCTCAATATAATAACAGCAATTTTATAGCTGTTTCAATGTTTATTTTATTAAAGAACATGCAAAAATGTATAAGAACATAAAGAAGAAATGTTTAATCAGCATTATATGGCTTGCAAACCTGGCGATTTGAAACTTTTAAAACTACTCTCAAAATTTTATAATATGATACTGAAACAAAAGAATTTTCATAATCCAAAATATTCCCTAGAAATATCTCAATTTTTTCCTAAATGTTCCCTTTGCTTTTTTTCCCTGCACTCTAATAAATATTTTCATATTCTTCTCCAAATCCCTCCTGTCTCTGGCTTCCTCACAAGCTCTACAACCCTATGAATAGAATTGGTAATGAGTACTATTCATATTCTCTGTGGTGTTTCATGGGTGTGACAAATGCTTATTATCAGAATAACATCTGGAAAGCATAATTTTATCCCTATTTTCTGAAGTCTTTCAAATGTTAGAGGAAGTAAAACCATACCTGGTTGGTTGCAAACTAAGTTTTCACCCCAAGATCCTGAAGTCCAAAGGCCCTCAAATTGTTTATAGGAATCGAAGATCTAGAGGTGTCTTTTACATCAGGCAAACAACAGGCTATAAAAGGTGGTCCATTAAAAATTGCTTAAAAGGTGAGTGGATTGCCTGAGCCCACGGGTTCGAGACCCGCCTGGGGCAGCGAGACCTCATCTCTACAATAAATCAAAAAATCAGCCGGGCGTGGTAGCGCATGCCTATAATTCCGGCTACTTGGAAGGCTGAGGAGGAAGGATCACCGGAGCCCAGCAGGTCGAGGCTGCGGTGGCCGCTCCCAGCCACCGCACTCCAGTCTGGGCGACAGAGTGAGACTCCAACTCAAAAAAAAAATTGCTTAAAAGTCTTGACACATTAATGTAAGTAGTTCTCACAAATAGTTATACCATCATCACTTTTGTCCCAATAAATATTTTATAGGGTGAAACATCCCCTACACTACATACTTCTCTTCAAGACTCCCTAAAACAGGAATTAAAAGTTTAAAGAGTTTTACTTTAACCAAAATTATCATTAAAAGATAGTATGGATTGAGAGAAATTCTTAAAAATGTGAAGTACCAGTACCCCAAAAAAATCATTTTGTTCTGCAGGATTGGTATATAAATATTTCACATAAAACATTTCTAATAAAAACTAATGTCATTTAGAGTATTTGGTTTTATTTGTTTGCTCATTTTTCCACTATTGTCTCTATGACATGCAGATTAAAAGATCGGAATCTTTTAGTTGCTTTCTACCTAGAGATAATTGTACATTTGCATCAAATATTTAAAAACAAAGAACAAGTAAAACACATACCAAAACTTTATCCACCACAATATGCATTTCTAGATAAAGAGGAAATAAATCGGGAACAGCCGATTCCGACTAGAAAAAAAGAAAAACAGCACATAAAACTTGAAAACTTTCATAATGTGTTTATTATGAACCCTTTATTGTTACCACAGCACATTAAGAATATGCTAGAGTATTTGCTTTATACACCTGGTTAATGTCAATATATAAGACCAGGCGCAGTGGCTCACACCTGTAATCCCAGCACTTCGAGAGGTAGAGGTGAGAAGATTGCCTGAGCCCAGGGGTTCGAAACCAGTCTAGGCAACTTGGTGAGACCTTGTCTCTACAATAAGTCAAAAATTAGCTGAGTGTGATGGCACATGCCTGTGGTTCCAGCTATTTGAGGTGGAAGGATCACCTAAGACCAGAAGGTCAAGGCTGCAGTGGCCATGAGCATGCCACTGCACTCCAGCCTGGGCAACAGGGTAAGACTCTAACTCAAAACAAAACAAAACAAAAATCCTTATATAGTGTCCTGAGTTTTATGGCAATAGACTCAAGTAATAAGAACATTGGTTAGGAAGTAATAATATATAGCTCAATAAATTTGCAGCTTTTAATTTGTGAACTAAGAACCAAACATCTAGTATCTCTAACCATGTATTTATCTGCATATCAGAAATAAACTTTTGCTTTATAAATAAGATAGGTATTGAAGAGTTTTTAAATAGTTACAAGTTTTTCACTCCTTTCTGTATCCATGTCCTTTGCGATATGACTTTACAGGGACTTCCACCAAGAGATGAGTCTATTTTCCCTCTCTCTCAATCTACTCTGGAACTTTTAACTTGTTTGAACCAATAAATGTAGTGGAAATGCTGTTGTGCCATTCCTGAGTCTAAGTCACCTTTCATATTGCCACTTCTACTCTTGAAACCCCTGCTTGTACAAAACTGACCAGCCTGCCAGATTGTAAGAAACAAGCAGCCTCCCTAATCCCATCGCCCTGGGGAGGGGAGTAGCAAGGCAATACTTGAGGAAAAAAGAAGTTGCTGGAATTTCAAGAAGAGAATGTTTTGGTGCTTGAATTTACCCACCTATCGTCCCATCCCTTATATCCAGCTCAGTGGCATCCATGAGGATGGTGGCTTATGTTCCTTGTGTGGTTTGCTGGTCCCAGAGGAAGACTACCCAAAAAATTCTCGAAAGAATTCTCAAAAGAATTCTCAAAAAATTATAATTCTGTGTTTTGAGTTATCCTGTCATTCCCTAAAGGATTTGCTCAAGGGCTTTCCTTTGTTTCCTCCACCATGAAGTGTTCACAGGGCTGAAGTTGAACTCAGAGTTTGTAAAAAGCATATTAAGACAAATGCACTGGCTGCAGCCCACCTGGAGCAATGGAAAACAGATGGTAATGCAGCAGACATGCTGAAAAACCTAAGAAGAAAGAGGTCAAGGAAGGATATGAGTTGGAAATAAACACTGAAAATCTCTGTCATGTGCTAAGAAAGCCACCCACATGTCCGGGGCTGGACACAGAAAAGTCTTGAGAAGACAATAAGCTTTTTCCTCTGGATGACCATTAGGTGTGCAAGCAGAAGTAAAGGCCAAGAGACTTTTAAACATCTAACTAGAATAAGTGTTGTCAGTGCACCCCAACACAGAATTAATTTGTATAAACCAAGAGAGTTTTTTTGGCTCCAGTCATCTAAGAAAATCTCTGACAAATCACTAGGTGACAACTTAAGCAACAACATTGTTTACAAAACATTTCCTTACTTTAGAAAAGTCATTAAACAACTACAACCCACAAAAAACAGCAACAAAAAATCTTAGTGGAAAATAAGGGGAAATCTGATTCCTAGCATTACCACATCAAAAAACTCAAAATGTTCAGTTTTCAACAAAAAATTATAAGGCATTAAAATGAAGAAATATGGCCCATTCTCAGGGGAAAAAAGAAATATAAACTGTCCCTAAGGAAGCCCAGACATTGGACTTACTAAACAAAGACTGTAAGTTAACCATTTTGAATATACTCAAAGTGTAAGGAAAATCAACAACAAAAACTAAAGGAAACCAGAAGAATGATGCCTCAGCAAATCAAGAATATCAGTAAAAATATAGAAAAATTATAAAAAAGAAATTGTGGAGCTGAAAAGCACAATAACAGAAATGAACAGATGTGAGGAGGCAAAAGAAATAATCAGCAAATCTCAAAACAAATGAAGCAAGATTATTCAGTCTGAGAAAAGAAAAATGAAGAGAGCCTAAGAGACCTGTGGGACACCGTCAAGTATACCAAAATATTAATTATAGGAGTCCCCAAAAGAAGAAAAAAAGAAAAGGGCAGAAAAAGTTTTTTTAAGTAATGGGTGATAATGTCCCAAATTTGATGAAAGATAGACATCTACATATTCAAAAATCTCAACAAATTCCAAGTAGAATAAACGCAAAGGAATTCCTACCAACACATGTAATAAATTGTCAGAAGCCAAGAGAACCCTGAAAACAGCAAGATATAAGTAGTTCATCATAAACAAAGGATCTTTAATAATATTAACATCTGTTTTATCATTAGAAACCATGGAGGCCAGAGGAAATAGGATGACATTTAAAGTGCTAGAAGAAGAAGCTGTCAATCAAGAATTCTACATCTGACAAAACTATCCTTCAAAAATAAAGGAGAAATTAAGACATTTCAGATAAACAAAAACTGAAGGAGTTGATTACTAATAGATCTGCCTATTATGAGATAAATTATGTCTCACCAAAATTCATATATTAAAATCCTAACCCTGAGTATGTCATGGTATTGTATTTAAAGATAGAGCCTTTAAAGAAGTAACTAGGTCATTCGATAGGCCCTGATATAATGTAACTGGTATCCTTACAAGAAGAAAAAACTAGGACACAGACACACACAGAAGGAAAACCATGTGAAAACACAGGGAGAAAACAGTTATCTATAAGCCAAGGAGAAGGGCTTCAGAAGAAACTAACTTTGCTGACAACTTGATCTCAAGCTTCTAGGCTCCAGAATTGTGAAAAAAATTATGTTCTTGTCATTTAAGTCACCCAGTCTGTAGTATTTTGTTATGACAGTCTTAGTAAGTGAATACACTGTCCTATAAGAAATTTCAAAGGCAGTCTTTCCATCTAAAATGAAAGCACATTAGATAGTAACTAGAAGCAATAAAGGAAATTAAGAACCCAGTAAAGATAAAAAAATACATTGGTAAATATAGAAAAAATGGTAAGTCACAAAGAAGGGCATTAAGTGTTAATTAAAAGGGAATCTATCAGGAAGATATAACAATGATAACCATTTACATACCTAACAATAGAGACCCAAAATACATGAAGAAAAAACTAAAGAAATCTCCAATTCCACAATAATGGGTAGGGACTTCAAAATCTCACTTTTAATAATAAATAGATCAACAAAACAGAAGATCAATAAGGAAGTAGAATAATTTAATAGCGCTATAAACCAAACAGACTTAACAGATAGTTATAGAAAAATTCACCCAGCAACAGAGTACAAATTTTTCTCAAGTATATAGAAGATATTCTCCAGAGTAGAATATATGATAAGCCACGAAAAGAGTCTTAAAAGTTCTTTAAAAACTGAAATCATATAAAATATCTTCTCTGGCCAGGTTCGGTGGCTCAGCCTGTAATTCCCAGCACTTTGAGAGGCCGAGGTGAGTGGATTGCCTGAGCCTGCAGGTTCAAAACCCACCCGGACAACTTGGCAAGACCTTGTCTCAACTATTAAAAAAAAAAAAAATTAGCTGGGCGTGGAAGCACGAGCCTGTCGTTCCAGCTACTTGGAAGGCTGAGGCGGAAGGATCGCCGGAGCCCAGCAGGTTGAGGCTGTGGTGGCCAGGAGCGTGCCACTGCACTCCAGTCTGGACAGCAGAGTGAGACTTCAACTCAAAAAATAAAATAAAATAAAAATATCTTCTCTAACTACATAGAGTAAAACTAGCAACTAATAACAGGAGGAAAATTGGAAAATTCACAAACTTGTGAAAATTTAAAAAACACACATTTAATTAACCAACAGATCAAAAAAATCACAAAGGAAATTATAAATACTTTGAGACAATAAAAACAATACACAACATACCAAAAATTAGGGGATGAGGTAAAAGCACTGCTCAGAAAAATTTACACCTAGAAATGTCTAATCATACTTTACACTGAAAGAACTAGTCAAACAAAAGTGCATTGAAACCAATGCTGCTAGAAGAAAGAAAATGATGACTGTTGTAATGGAGGAATAAAGTACGGCTGAGGCAGAAGGATCACCTGAGCCCAGGAGGTTGAGGCTGAGGCTGCAGTGAGCTGTGATTGTGCCGCTGCACTCCAGTATGAGCAACAAAGTGAGACCATGACTCCAAAAAAAGAAAGAAAAAGTTAGACAACAACAACAAAAAAACCTTAAAAAAATTAATGAAAACCAAAGTTGTTACTCTTTAATTTGTATAAACTTAAGGGGAACAAGTGCAATTTTGTTACATGGATATAATGTGTACTTGTGAAGTCTGGGCTTTTAGTGTTACCATCACTCAAACAATGCACACTGTGTCCATTAAGCAATTTCTCATCCCTCATCCTCTTCCAATTTCCCCATCCTTCTGAGTCTGAGTCTCCAATATCTGTCATTCTACATTCTCTGTCCATGTGTACACATTATTTAGCTTCCACTTATAAGTGAGGATATGTGGTATTTGACTTTCTGATGCTGGGTTGCTTCACTTAAGATAATGACTTTCAATTTCATCTATTTGCTGCAAAAGACATCATTTCATTCATTTTTATGGCATAAGTGTTCTCTTTTCTCCGCATCCTGGTCAACATCTTTTTTTTTTTTCTTTTGAGTTTTTAATAATAGCCATGCTGACTAGTTTAAGATAATTCACTGTGGTTTTAATTTGAATTTCTCTGCTAACTAGTGATTTTTTTTCATATGTCTATTTGTTGTCTTCTTTGCAAAAATGTCTATTCATGTTCTTTGCCCACTTATTAATGGAGTTTTGAGTTTGTTTGGTTGCTGTTATCACTGAGTTGAGTTCCTTGTA